ATGTAAAAATAATGTAGAATGAGTAGTTTAAATAATAGATACTAAAAATTACCAAATGACATTTGATCTATTGGTAAGGAGTGACGTTCTCAAATGAGAGCTCATTGGTTGAAGTCTCATTAGGAGATATAGGTGGTTTTAGAAGTGGGTTAGTTTGCCAGTTTAAAAAAAATATAAAAAAAGATATAAAAATTAGAAGACTGTTTATGTAATAACATTTTATCTTTTCCATAGTTTTGGATAAGAGGATGTTTTTTAAACAAAATATGAAATCATGTGTTTATTATATAGGACCAAGTATGCAACATTGTAACCAAATTTTTTTGTCTCGTTAGGTAAAATTAGTTCGATGTTTATTTATGCAAAACTGTTCACGTTTTACTAATTTTATTCAACAGATAATCATATTTATATAAATTTATATAGCTAAAACAAAGTTTATATATACATATCTAAAAAACACGAACTATGGGACTATGTTTCAAGCAGTTGAACATATTATATTTAAAATATTGCATATGTTGTCCGTTAATGAAAATGTTGTATATTTCGTCTAAATAACACTTTGTTGTATATATCGGAACAAAAAATTACTGTATAAACAACCATTTAACTCTAACTACGGTAATAAAGTAAGGGGGTGTTTGTGATTGTATTTTTGTCTAAACAATCATTTTTGACAAAAAAAAAAAAAAAAAAAAAACATTTTTATTTATAGTTGTTTTTTTTTTTTTTAAATGGTGTTTTAAAATATGTTTGGATTAACTTTTGAATAAATAAAAGTCAAAAAATCAAAAGTCATCAAAGCTTATAAAAGCATGACTTATAAAACAATTTATTTTTCTTATTGCCAAAAAGTTATTCGAAGAACTTCTAAATTTGTCAACATCTTATAAATCTTTTTGCTTTTTAAAAAAATTCAAAAGTCTAAAAAATCACTTTGAAAAATAATCCCAAACACCCTCTAAATCACAAGCAAGTCGGATTAAATATAAGATTTTAGATAATTCAATGAAACTATTGTGGTTGCAACATCTTTAACGTGAACATGAGCTCATCAATAAACGAATATAAGAACAACTTGATTTTAATCCTTATCTATAAATCAGACAAAACTATTTATCAACAAAAATCACAAAATATCTAACTAATATAGAAATTTGTCGTTTAAAATCATCTATAATTCATTTTGCTTTCATATCCTTAATGGTGTCACATTAAGTATCGATTCTCTTTTTCTTTTAGTATTCTCCAGTATAATATAATGGTTATGTATTACAAACCATTAAATGAACATATATACTTGATTATCTAGAATATCATATCATTTCATATTTTCAATCAAGCATATATATATATATATATATATATATATATATATATATATATATATATATATATATATATATATATATATATATATATATATATATATATATATATAAATTCTGTCGAATCCCGTTGCATGCGCCCCGGGACTAATCTATAATACTCCACTATGCTTTATTATTTAATTTCTACATGCCTAATTCCACTTGTCTACTAACATTAGTTATATATAATATCACAATTAAATATATGAAAATAAAAAATGTATCATAATAAATCAAAAGGTTAAAAGTAAGGAAATGACAGACATGCAGTACCGAACATACACGAACCATTTCATTTGCTACAAAGAAGTAGATTTTATTTTACTTATATATATATATATATATATATATATATATATATATATATATATATATATATATATATATATATAGAGAGAGAGAGAGAGAGAGAGAGAGAGAGAGAGGTTTTATAAGATCTTCCACTGATGATTAAGCATGTTTATTTTGTTTTGAAGTTCATGGGAAAGAGGGATGGATATTGAGGTTTCAAAATTGGGTGACAAGGACACGGGCCAATGTGAAGTCCAAGGAAGATCCGAATCCGAACTTTCGACCCAAACCAAATCTTCCATGATTTGTTCCTAATCTCCTTTGTTTAATTAATCCTAGTTCTTTATTAGTAAGATTTTTGCATTAAAAACCACATAAAACTGAATCAAAAGTAACCTGTTACTATATAAAACTGATCTTATGATGTTTTATACTTAAATATCAACTAAAATACCGTAAATTCATAGGTTTATCTGTTTATGTAAAGCTTAAATAAAAATTGAGATATGATAACATGAATTTTTTTGCATTTAAAGTCTTTCACATAGCTATCATTAAATTGATTTTCTAATAATGACCATGATAATCTAAAATGACGAACATCATGTAAATCTTGTATCATTATTGATTTTGATTTAAAAATCGTATATACAAAAAATATGGTTAATATTTATTATTATATGTTTTTAACCGAATAAAAACATATTATGTCCGAATAAAAATATACTATAAAGGTCATGCCCATTAATTGATACCACAAATCAATATACTTTTACCAAATCTATATCTTTTGCAAAATTTCAAGCTATTATATCTTAGATGGCTCTTAAAAACATATATTAAGGGGGGTATTGAGACATTTTACTATTTAACTAAACGGTATCCTTTTAGATATAAGTTAAAGTTCTTATGTTTGTTAATTAAGGGTGTGTTCACTTTCCCTTATATTAGTTAGGGTGGTTATTACTGTTACGTAGTTTTTGTAATCACTATGAGAGTTAATGAGAATTTAAGAATTCATTTTATTTCTTCTTTCTTCATGCAATAATAATCATTTGTATTGATTACAAAACTTATAATGAATTTACTGGTAATTTTATTCTTATATTCCCAAAAAAATAATTTCATTAAAAATATGTATCTTTACATATAAATTTGTTAAAAATAACCTATTTTAAAAGTTAAAAGAACATGACATAATGGAATAATATTTTATTATAAGTTATTTCTAAAAGTGGAAATGCATAATGGGGTCCACTCCGAGAATCCTATTTGACCGTTTAACAAAAACTCTTGGTTTCGGCGCTCCGGATCATTTGGATGTGTGTGCCTTCGTGTCCCCAACATATCAATTTTCGCCCATAAATTTACCGATAATTATTTTATTATTAACCTTTTTGCACTTGGGTAACATCGGATCACAAAAAGGTTTGAACCCATATTTCGTCAAACCAAATCCAACGTTTGACTAACCTAAACCTATTGTCTAATCTTTTCATTTATTCAAGAAAATATTATTGCATTTCAAAATAGATTTATATTCCAAAAAATATTCATCGATCTAAACATGATTTCATATATAACCTTAATTTATATCCAATAAGGTCCACTTATCATTGAAACTAGCAAGTCAAATAGGTCCCACTAAACTAATCATTGCTACTAAATTTAAGTTTTTAGAATCATTTATTTCATAACTATTTATAGAATTCACATTTGTTGTCGAAGGTGTTTGATGCATGATAAAACTTTCCCCTTAGAGTAGTGACATTGTTCCTTTTTAATATATTTACACAAGGTCCTTGAGTTTGTTAAAAAGAAAAAATAGACGGTTTTATCATAATACTATTTTTTATGTGTTAAAATTGAATTTTTATTACTTATTACATGTAGTTATAGGTTATCAGATTATAATAAATAAAATCCGCAAAATAACTCTTAAGTTTATAAATATTAAGTTTATAAATATTTTATGTTTTTATACTTAATATGTTTTTTTTTATAGTATAAGTATTTGATAACGCGTCCCTTAGAGCGGCCAGAGATAGGCGAGCCCTAGCAGGGCGCTACCAGCAGGGAATCGACCGGGCGACCCGAACGTCCCAAACAACCCCAGATTCCTACGCGGCAACAGCGTAGGAAGCTCGCCCTCGCCAAGCATTGTCCTTTAACTACAGCCCAAATATAACGGCTCCAGGCGACAAGACGCCAGGCCAGAGCATAATCGCCTGGACCAATCGTTGGGTCGGACACAAACGTGGATCATGTTTTTCCAATAAGAGCGTCGGATCCTATCGGGATCGCAGTCAATGTCCCTCGTACGATCCGTGGAAGATCTTCAGTATAAAAGGCCTATCATCTGGCCTTGACAGGGTAAGCTCTCTTCACCCCAGTCCCTCATTCTCTATACGCCCATTCTCATTTCAACAACTAACTTGACCGTCGGAGCGTTCTTCCGGGACTTCCTCCCGGACGACGGCTGACGCCTTCCTTTTCTCTGTGACCTCTCAGGTTCCAGCCGAACGCCGTTCATCCATAGCTCAAGTGGTTCGGAGCCAGGTCGCATCATTTGGCGCCATCTGCTTGTGTGACAATATATACGCAAACCCTTTCTCTTTCTCTTTTCTCGTAAACACACATGACGAAGAAGACGATGAGTGAGCCAATCGGAGCCACCACACAGCTCGATACACCCGATCGGGTCGTTGGAGGTAACTGACACTCCGGCGTCGCCGTCTTCCGGTGGTCAGCCACCAACATCTGAAATACCACCAATATTTGGTGATCCGTCGTTGTCCTTCGAAGCGACACCGGTTTTCGGCGGCCCGCCATCGTACCTTGTGACAACTCCGCCGCCAGATTCATTCCCAACTCCCGTTCCGCCCTACCTGCTAAAAACTATATTGCTATTAAAGAATAAAGTGTATCCACTAAAAACAAAAACGCATAAATTCAAAATATTAAAGAATAAAGTGTAAGTATATTGCTATTAACTAAATCTGCTAAAAACAAAATGGAAACTACAATCCACTTTGTATCCACTTTATAAGAAGCAAAACATGTAACACTTAATATTCATATGAATAAATCATTATAAATATGAAATTATCTAAAACAACACGAACATCATCGTGTTTAAACCAAATGAAAACAAATATAAGATTCAAAACCAAAAAAAAGTATTTGTCAAAAAAATCCATAAGCAAACAAATTCAAACTCTCAACAAAGGTCTTTAAAGTAAAATGGCAAATAATGATGAATGGGTTAAACTTATTCCAACTTTTCCATTGTTGGGATCTTCAAGGTAGGAGCAAAATACCACCTTTAAAAGAAAATCATTCAAAAGATTTAGTGGTGGTAACAATCTCAATAGGCCGCTTGACGGAAGTAGTTATTGGTGTGACTGCATTAAGATCAATAACATCAATAATCTCACCATCAACTAAAACAATTTTACCCTGTAAAAAATTAATATAACAAAATGTTAACAAAATATTTTTGAGTACATTACACGAATGGTCCCTATGGTTTAGGGTAATTTGCGTGTTTCGTCCCTAACTTATTTTTTTAACTCGGAAGGTTCCTACTGTTTGTTTTTGTTACATGCTTGGTCTTTGTCTTACCTAAAAAAGATTATTTTTCCCTTGATTTTTTAATTTATTTAAATAAACACACCCCCAACCTCACCTCCCTAACCTTACCTTTACCTATCACATCATTTTTCCCTATTTAAATAATAGTTTTTTTTAGGTAAGACATGGACCAAACGCATAACAAAAACAAACATTAGGGATCAAGTGTGTAACAAAAACAAACAATAGGAACCTTCCGAGTTAAAAAAATAAGTTAGGGACCAAGCGTGCAAATTACCCCAAACCTTAGGGACCATTCGTTTAATTTACTCAATATTTTTATTACCAATGTTTAAATCAAAACTTATATGTAGTGACGTTTTACCTTAAGACACTTGTTAAAGGGAGTATCATCATAATGAATATTGTCTTGTTCATATGCAGATAAACGTATGAAACCGCACCAATTACACCTTCATCACCACTCATCTTATGAACAATGTATGCGAGATAATTGTTGTTGAGATTAAACTTTGAAATCTAAACTTTAAAAACAAATTTTCTATTTAGAAACCTATTGAACTCATTAGATATTTTGACGTCCTTTATTCTAAAGAAAAATATAATAAAACATTTTAACAGTTAATACAACCCAATGAAAATAAAATGAAGTATGAATATACAATTAAATTGTCATGTATACAAACTAAAAGAAATAATTACTAAGTATGTAAAAAGTCAGTAGTTAATGTTTCCAATATTGAAAATACAGAAAAAAATAAAAAAAATTAACGCTACCTTTGATATCTTTTCCATAAACCATTGATTACCGCGCTGAGTAACATCTTTAACATGTCGGTCAAGCAATACAAAAGATCAGACCCTGTTTCATCTTGAACACGAATTACGACCCTCACTAAGTATGTAAAAAGTCAGTAGTTAATGTTTCCAATATTGAAAATACAGAAAAAAAAAATAAAAAAATTAACGCTACCTTTGATATCTTTTCCATAAACCACTGATTACCGCGCTGAGTAACATCTTTAACATGTCAGTCAAGCAATACAAAAGATCAGACCCTGTTTCATCTTGAATACGAATTACGACCCTCACCCAAAAAATTATAAAATAACAATTTAATGGACACCGAAATAAATATGAAAACAATCTAATAAATATTAATGTCACAATAAGTTTACAAATATAAAATTATGAACTTATTTGTTGTAAACAGAAGAAACTACACCACAACCATCACAAGTAAATGATTCAACATTGCTATCATTGTCATTCTTAGCATTACTATCATCATCATTCTTACTTTTTTTTTTAATAGTCATGACAATAAAATGAATATTAGCATTCATCTAAATTAAAACCGATAACAGGAACGATGATGGACAAACCTAGTTCCTGGTTCAAAAATTGTAAAAAGAATATATAAAAAATAATGTCTTATATATTCGTTGTGTTATGCAAAATAAATTCTAAAAACTAATGGAAAATATTAAGTATACTTCATTTTAATATAGAATATCATCAATGTTTTTGATTGGAAAACGAAGGTAGTAATCTTCTACCTTGGCAACAAAAGTATCGGTATTAAGTTCTGAAGTATTAACGAAAGACTCAACATTTAAATCAATATCAGCAATACTACATATAAAAAGAAAAAAAAGAAAGAAATTAAACAATATAAATAATTAATGATTAAGAATAATGAAACACAAAACATTAAGCTATTATTTATTTATAGAAGACATTCGCTTTTTTGAATTCTGAAATGCGAAGCATATCATCATTGATATGCAATTTCGACCCAAACAAATAGTTACCGACTTGAGGCTGGCTTGGAAATAAAAATTAAACTAATAAATTAATTGATCTTATTAATTTTTTTAATGTAATGACATGGACATCTAAAATAAAAAATATTCTTACCACCCCAAGTCTTGAAATTTGCTATACGTAGGATGATGATGATGATGATGATGATGATGATGATAACGAGGGCATTATAATTTTGATGTTCCGATATGTAGCAGCTCAACTTTAATGCAAAATCATCCGACAAACCAACTTGAATTTTCCAATCACTATAATTGAATGGTTGAGTTATATAGAGATAAATATTAAACATGGTAAATAAATAATAAAAGATAGATGAAAAATACCTTAGATCTTGAACCATATTCAACCACAAAAGAATGTACGAATTTATTCAGTAAGCAAATAAACACCGCAAATTAATGTTCTTCTTGTATGAATAGTATGATGATAGCAAACTCGTTTAAGAAAATAGAACGATATATGTTATCTGATTCGATTGTTTCTTGGTTTTCTTTATTTTGTAATATATGTGGGAAAATTTTGATTACGTGTATTTAGGGATATCAACGGGGCAAACGAGGCGGGGAATGCATCTCCCTCCCCCGCCCCCGGAAAATTTTGATTACGTGTATTTATGCTAAACTTATTTCTTGATTATGTTGTATAATCTTTGCTTATATGTGTTTTGTTCATTCATGATGCATTGTTGTTGAATATGCTAAACTTATTTGTTGATTATGTTGAAATATGATTGATCTTTGTTGCTAAAGTATGTATTATATATATATATATATATATATATATATATATATATATATATATATTCTGTTATTAGCAATGGGAGATAAATATACATGGACCAATGAGCAAACAAAATGCTTATTGCTCACTTGTATCGAAGAAGTACAAACTGTGGGTAGAAAAGGTTTGAGTTTGCACAAACAATCATGATACAAGTTAGGAACAACCATTAAGGAAAAGTATGGCGTGGATTTGAATCAATGACAATTAAAAACGCCTATGATAACCTTAAAGCCAAATACACAAGATGGTTATACTTAAAAAACAAAACTGGAAACCTTTACAATCCACAACCAAATACCTTTAACTTAACAAATGAGGAGTGAAGGACTATAAAAATGTGTGTGTGTGTGTCTATATATATATATATATATGTATATATGTATATGTATATATATATATACACACACGAACACACACACACATATTTATATGTATATTGTTTATATAGTTGCCATTAATTATTATATTACTCTTGTTAAATTGATTGGGTTTAGGGACATCCGAAAGCCACTTCTTTGAAAATTGTCCCATTATTGTTTCCAGAGCTTTGTGCAAAACTCTTTGATGGAAACAGTGCATCTGGTAATCTCAGCTATACCACATCCCAAACACCATCGGTACAGGGATCATCTTCTTTCCATGTCGCACCACTAAAGATTATGGACGCCCCTTAGATTAACATAGATGAAAATGGTTACTTTTCCAATCATACTAGTGAGTATTTTACTCAGCCACCACCTTCTGTTGCTTCACCTTTTGCTGATTCACCTTCTACTGCTTCACCTTCTGGTAACCCTGAGAAAATGGCTAAACTCTCAACTCCTAGACCTTGAGCTCCTAGTGCCTCACCTGAACCACCTTTGTGTGCCTCGCCTAAAGCTTCCATTACTGCTGATGATTTAGCAATGGAGATGCAAAAAGCTTTATGCCATTTGACTCAAGGGCCAATGTAACACCTAAAAAATCAAGCTAATTTAAAACCTTTTCAAACATCCAAAAGCCATTAGTTATTACAAAATGTTTTCAAAATAGTTTAATATTAGAGTATCCCAAAAACCATAAGTCCAAAACATGAGGATATGTACTGTCACTCCTTTGCTTTGCCAAGACATCTGAAACGCCTGAAACAATAAACTGAAACTGTAAGCACAAAGCCTAGTGAGTTCCCCCAAAATACCCATACAAACAACAATATAAATATAATCACGAACAACATACTATGGGTCCAATCAACCATCGGGTTGGAATACCCCAGGCCCTCAATCATCAGGTTGGAATGCCAACATACTATGGGTCAAATTATCCATCGGGATAGAGTACCCCAAGCCTGTTGATTGTCGCACAAAGCAGCCCCGTCTCACTGTATACAATGACAAATATGTCGGGTCCAATCAACCATCGGGTTGGAATACCCCAGGCCCAATCAACTACCGGGTCCATTCATCCATCCGGATGGAATACCCCAGGTTGGAATGCCAATATATATATATATATATATATATATATATATATATATATATATATATATATATATATATATATATAACGGGTCCAGTCATCATCGGGATGGAATACCCTCAGCCAACAACCATTAGGTTGGAATGCCCATATACTACGAGTCTAATCATCCTCAGGATGGAATACTCACGACCTAGAACCATCAAGTTAGAATGCCCACATACTACGAGTCCAATCATACTCGGGATGGAATACTAACGGCCCACAACCATCTGGTCGAAAAGCCCAGGTCTGTTGGCTCTCGCACAAAGCAGATAAACCTCAACCACTTATCAAACATGTGCACATATATCAGCAAATCACATAATAGTCTATAGATAGACAAACCGATCTAACAGCTCATAACAACATAGTAACATCCTATTTACCAGGATACTAATCTAACGGATCATATAAACATATAACATCCTATTTATCAGGATACTGATCTAACAGATCATAACAACATATAACATCCTATCTGCTAGGATACTGATCTAACAGATCATACAATACTCGGGCATATAGCATATCAGGATAACAATCCAAAAGGGCTGGCCTTGAGCTCCAAGCCTAAGTTCTAACTTATACTCTAAAGGCCCAATAGTCAACCAATGGACCAAAGCCCAACATATGGCCCAATTTTCCAAATTGAGCCCAAACCTCTAGATGGTCTTCCCCTAAGGCACATCCAATTATTGTAGTCCAAACTCTTGGTATCCCCATGGCCTAATATCACATAATCATCAAGGCCCAGTTATGGCCCACCTATGGCCCAATTTTCGAAATTAGGCCCAAGTCCTTCTTGTGGGCCTTATCGTAAAGCTCATCCAGTTATTTTGGTCGATTTTCTTTTCCTTTGATAGCCCATAAAAAGTCAAATCACTAAATTCCAATAGGAAGGCCCAACTCGAGGCCCAGGTGAAATTTGGGTTTTCACATAAAATGACGATTAGGGTTAAGTGTTCCTACTTAACCCATTAAGGACTTAATCCATTAAGTCCAATATTGCCTTAGGTTAATTTGCAAATGATTATTAATTAACATTTTCAGTTTAGTAATTAATTCAAGTGCGGGTCCCGATAAATCACAAAATTAGGGTTTCATGACATTGGAGTTTTCCAAAACCTAATTAGGGTTTCTAACCCAAATACTAGCACATTAGTCACTTAGTTGAGCTTTTAGGTGAATTAGGGCTTTATTGGGCCCATTAGGATTTCATTGCGCCCACTAGGGTTTCATTAGGCCCATTCTGTCCAAGAATCCCAAACGAGGCACACCGCCACCCAACACGGAGGCTGGTGGTGGTAGGCGGCGGCAGCCATCACCTCATGGTGGTGGTTATAACTTTTCTCTTATTATTCTTTCTAATTACAATACATAACAATTTTACATATGAAAACTCCAATAAACACACACACACACACAACCACACTGTGGCGGCAGGTGGTGGTCGGAGGTGCTAGCATCACCTCATGGTGGTGGTGGTCCTCTTTTGATTCTGACCAAAAATCACACAGCCACACTCTTCTATTCGTGATGATTTGAACCACTCACCTACTGGCATGTGGTGGCAGTGTATAGAGTGACAGTAGCAACATCGGCTAACGGCAGCGTCGTCAACGGCAGCCACCATGGTCGGCTGTCATGGTGGTTTTTCACAGCTCCTATTCAATAGAAACCACAAACCATAGTCACTAACACAAGATGAAATACCGAGAACACACCCATCCTTTTGACACACAACTGAAATACATACACGACAACCACCCTTGGGGGTGGCAGATGTTGATCGAAGTAGAAAAGAATTGCACAAGCGGCAACAACGGACGACGAATATCGACAGTCACTGAAACAACATAGAAGAATAATTGATCGGTGCTGCCATGGTCTTTTCAGAACAGTCCAACATCAGCAGCAAGAGGCGGTGGTCGCTCTTCGGTCTCAGCGGTTCCCTCTCGGTCGTTCACGACGTCCGGCAACGAAGTTGGACACGAGATGGTCGTTTGGTGGCTTGGGACTTCGACCGATCGGAAAGACAAGAGGGTGTTGGGTGGTAACGACGGTTGGACGAAGGAGAATAAGATGGTGGATGGTTGTAGAGGTTAGGGTTATGGTTACTGGAGGAATGGACGGCTATATACCCCACCCTTCAAACTTCGACCCATAATGACATAAATGATCCCTATTTCTCTCTTTCCTTTCAACTTAAGTCCTTAATATATCATTTAAACCCTCCTTCTAAAAACCTTTACAAATTAAGTCTGAAATCTTACCAATCAGCCCCTGCTTCCATAAATACTTACATAAGAAGTCCAAATAATAGCAAACACACCCTAGTTCTGAAATCCTTTTCAAAATAAATCCAGAAATTACATTTTAACCCCCGGAGATTCAATTCTTGTCATTTGGCTTACCGAAACCAACACCCCACTAATTATTAATTGGTTTTGGACAATAACAATATAGAATAATAATAAAAATTACTTCTCGGGTTCCGGGTTTATGATTTAATTATTTTATTTTAAACGGGATGTTACAACCAATAATTCCCCAATGTTTAGAGAAGCTTGAGTTACTCAAGTTAGGCCCAATAGACTCTCTAAGAATTATTTCGTATCACATTTTTGGAGGGACCATGAATATAATAGAGATGTGGGTAAATTTGCCCAATGATCCATGTAACGCCCGTAGATCCGACCTAGTCAATTTAGAGATAATAGGGGTTGAAAACGACTTTTTAACAAAATATTATATAGAATAAATAATCTTAACCAAGTTGTAGAATACGTCTCAAGGGTTCCTTACATATAAAGAACGCCGAAATCCGAGTTATAACGAAGACGTTATGGTCCGTCGAAGTTTTATGGCAAAACCGATACGACACCGGGAGACGTAAATAGTGAATTTAAGATGGAGGACTATTTATCCTTATAAATCTAAATAAAAATTGTAGTATATGTTATACCGAGAACATACAAAAAAAGAACGCCAACATCTGACTTCGTATGAGGAAGTTATGAGTTTTCTAAGATTTTGCTTTGTAGTGCACATCCCGAAACTCAATTTTTAGATCGAGCGGTTTTTGGCCTACGCGACCTAAATGAAAATTGAAAATCTCATTAATAGGAACTCAACAGTAAAAATACAGAAGAAAACAGAGTCAGTGTGTAGAAGTTATGAGTTTTACGCGAACATTTAACAGTATAATCTCCTCGTACTGTTAAATTTAAGATCGGTCGAGAATTAGCCAATGACGTCAAAACGAAAGTTGTAGATATTATTTTTACCTACGCGTGGATATAAAGAACATCAAAAACAGAGCTCGTATGTGAAATTTACAGATTTTAGAAGTCGGAAGTGTGTTGTGAGAAAATGGGTGACGTGGCACGATCTTGGCCATTGCTTTCTCCCCAAGTCTTGCCACCAGATGGTGACATGTGGCACCAAGTTCAGCCATATTTCACCTTATAAATAGAACCTCTCACACCCTCATTTTCTTCACACCCTTCCCATTCTTTCTTCTCTTTACTCTTTCTCTAGAACCTCTTTCTAGCCCTGAAACCCCCCGAAAAGCCTAGGGAACCTCCCTAGCACGAGGCGGAAGCCCTAGAGTGCTCAACGACTCTTAGAAGAAGAGCTTTTCGGCACAGGAACGCTTCTCCAAGCAAATCCCGATTTTCTATAAACCTCGCTGTAAGTGAGCTACGTTTATGCTATTTTTAATATAGCTTTTATTTAATTATAATAACGCTATTAGGAACTTATAATAAGTACTTGAGCTATTATTATGGGTTATATAAGTATTATTTAATGCTTATATAATAGTAATAATAGCTAGACTATTAATTAATCTCGATGAATAATAGACTAAACTCTGGTGGTAATAACACTCGATATCGCCGAAGGAAGTTATTTTTAAGAAGCGAAGTGCTGTCTGAGTTCGGAATCACCACCTTTTCAAGTGAGTGCATGCCCCTTTCATCTTACACATAGATATGAAATATTTTATATAAATTACGTGTTATGTGCGCATATTATCTGTATACTTGCTATTTATGCTGAATGAACGATGTTATACAAGTTTTATATGATTTAAATTGTATATGCATTTATATCTATATAATATGTTGGGTAAAACATGGGTAGATGAACTATGAGTTGGATGATGAGTTGAGAAATGATATAGACCATGAGGTAAAGGTGGGAGGTGGACGATGTGAGAAGCCTTGTTCCCAAATGTTAGCCCCGTTATCTAGCAGAGTATGAATGACAACACGGACTATTCTAGACATTCCAGTGGAACACTAGCAGGCTCACAACCTATAGGTGTTGTGAACGATGTGTTCACCGGTGTACTCTAAAAACACATTGACATGTATTGCGAGTGGACTCTCGAAAACGATATTATCAATAAACGAGATAACCCTAGAAGCTGTGCTCGAAGGACAATACTGGCAGCTGCACCTCATATAGAATGTCATAATTATGGCAGTTATGCCTAAGTGATAGAACTAGCAGTTGTGCTTGACAGCTATGTCATTGACAATGATGGACTTCGTATCTATTCCTTAGGAATGAATGAACGAGAAATAACCGATTCTTAGTATAGATCCTTAATAGTAAAGAAGATAATGGGGATGTGTAATTGGGTTAACTGTTTGATGATTAAACATAATAATTATATTATCACTACTAGAAAAACAGCCTTTTACGACGCTCATTGCGCGTCGTAAATGGCTCAGACGACGCGCAAATGTGTGTCAAGGAAGGCCCTGTCATAAAGAGAGACAACGTGCTTTTGCGCGTCGTCTATAGACGATGCGCATTTACGACGCTCATTTACGACGCGCCTTTACGACACGCAATGCGTATCAAGAAAGCCCCTATCATAAAGAAAGAAAACACGCATTCGCGTGTCGTAACCTTACGACGCGCGTGTTAATGACACGCAATGCGTATCAACAAAGCCCCTGTCAAGAAAGGCCGTGTCATAAATGAAGATAACACACATTTTTGCGTATCATAATTTTAAATGTTTAAAAAAATATATTTTTTTATAGATTTACTAATTTTCAAATTAAATTTGCATTTAATGCATCATAATAGAAAATAAAATATCATATATAGAACAAATATAATCCATTTCATAAAATTTAATGTCATACAAAAATAGAATCCATTGCATAATATTTTATTACAAATTTGACATTTTATTGTTTCCGTACTTTGACAATTTGTGCTGCTGCTGATTCCAGAGCCAATCCGCAACTGCATTCCAGAGCTGATTCAGTGGAAAGAGCATCCTAGACTCCATCACTTGAAATTACAAGCCGCCCACAAACAGAAGATAGCTGAAGATCATGAATAAATAAAATTTGTTAATAAAAAGAGGAATAAATTGAGTTTAATTACTAAACGCCAACATTCAAACCAATTAATGAAAGTTAAAGCATCTAAATAATATAGCATGGTATGCAAATATATCATGCATCGTACAAACAATGAAGATTTTTAGTTTCTGGAAGATTATTGACATCACTGGGATTAAGAGTTTTCTTTGCTTATCCACTGCACCTCATATGTTTCCATCACATTTGAAGGATTATAATGCTACATAGCTCTATTAAAGATGCTGCAATATCTCTCTATTGTTATGCATGAAATCAAGACATATGATCTTCTAATACTAGAAAACAAGAGCTATTCAGAATAATAAAGCTACATACCTGAGTTTGCAAGAGGTATCGCAAGGTGCTGCCGACTCAAAACCAAGCAGCCTTAGGCACTTATCAAGGACTGAACTGAGGATGCACATCTAATAGAAAAAAGATAAAAGTATAATTACAAGGATTAATAAAGCTATTCGGAAGCCAGCAATGAGAACCAAATTTATTTAAAAAAAAAAAGGAGATAAAGAAAGAGAGAGACTACTTGCATCTAGCCTCTAGAAATGTGCTTTGTGTAACCATCACCTAGATCAACACCAATCTGGATCTTTTGATCTGAGGCTCTGTTGTGTGTCTCGCTTAAGACATCCAGACAATCTGAATGCTTCTTCTTAGTTTGAAACTGCAATAATTGAGATACAATTCATTTTGAGGGGATAGATAAAGAAAATATGAAAGACCATCAATTTATCAGTAATCAAAAGGGACGGTTCTCTTCAGCAGAAAGATAGAGCCTTTGATGGATCCTAGTGAATCAGTTACTAGGGAATGTGACATGTAGATTGGATTGGTAAACCTAAAGGTAACAGTGTCACTGCAGGGTTTTACATTTTCATGAGACTCAAGAGGTCAGTGATGTCTTCAGTCTGTTTAAGATGAAAATGAAAGCACATAACATTAGTGCAGGATACAGTAAATCTATCATGAAAGTGCAATGGTTGCATTTATCAAAAGTGAAAAAATTGTGTCTTTCGCCATGAAACTTACCAGCTATCACCCAGACAATATATGCCTTGTCCTTCTAGAAGTAACAAACCATGTTGATTATAATGGACTTCCTGCAACAACAAAAAACTATTATAGTTTTTATTTTTTCAAGACTGTTGATTTAAATAAACACAATTTAATAAGTAATGTAATGACATACTTTTACATCAAGAAATTTTCCAGGTTGGAAGTCCATGATCTGCCTGATTACAAATTTCATAATTTAGAATACGCATTTTAATATTTGATTATTAGTCAAACGCATCAAAACTATAAAGTAAAATCTTTTTAAAAGATAAACTATAGCTTACATGAACGTTGATGTTGTAAGGCAGAGATGTAGGAAGAAGCTTCCTCAGTTGGAATACCTAATATGGAAACAGTAAAAAAAATAATAGTAAAAAAGTGGACTCTTATTCTAGGGTGATTGTTAAAAAAGTACATACGTCTCCAGGGGTATCAACAAGTGGCTGCAAATACCTCTCTGCATACACAACACCATTTGTGTTACTTTTTTCCTGTTAAGATAAATAATATTTTAAAACCTCTTTTCCTTAAATTTCTCTTTTGGCTTAAACATGTATACAAGAAGCAAGCCCTCGTTCAAGTAAGCTATACGGTGTTTCTTTATTAATGCAAAAAGGACAACATAATAGAAATAATCAGATAAATACCATTAAGTCTTATGTTTTACAAATTTACCCTCTAATGGTTTGTCATTCCATTTCCCTAAGTGTGCACTCATTTTCTCAAGTATTATTCATACATCATATAAACAGAAAACAATTAATGGGAGAAAAAACACATGTAAATAGGATAAGGAATTGTAGAAGATATTGCCTACCTGACATACCATACCGATAAAAAATTTATAAAATGATATTATTAAACCACTAAAATATAATCAATGATTTATCAACAAACAACACATAGATTATAACTTGCATTACAAATAAATAGATAGATTATTAACATCATTCTAAAACAATATCAGAATAATCAACATGAATAGATAGCTTTTTAGGTATGAAATAGTTCAAATCTACAAACTATAATATATATTACCCCCATTTTTCAAGAACCAAAACTATTTCAAATGTGGGGAAACATGAATTCCTCCGACCAATTCAAGAAGCAAAACTATTTCATACCCCTATTTTTCATTAATTTAGGGAAACAAGTGTAACTGTTTATAAATTAAACCATATTGACTCTGTAAACTTGAATTACTGCACCTGAAAGTCATAATTCAAGTTTTTTAATTAAGATTTATAGTCGACCATGATCTGCTAGATGAACCGTAGTCTACCCATTGTCCTTAATTCAATAAAATTAACATGATCCAAATTGTGATAGAAATCATGAGGAAGAAATAAACTCAGAAGATATCTCTTAAAACTTTATTATTCAGGTGAGTGCTCTTCTTGTTGTTGCAATAACAATATGCTCAAATCTGAGCGTGACCTTTTAGAAACTGATAAATCTACAAAAGATCTTAGCAACAATAAGCTTTAAAAAGCACTAAACAAGGAACAATCGAACGCACATAAAGAATACTCCTTTAAAGAAGATTTGTGAAAGGATGAAGAGACTTGACCCAACATTTATTATACCTGGTAGAGAAGAAATAAGGAGCTTTGCTAACCCCTGTCGCAGCCATTCATCTCTGTATCCTCACAAAATCACACAGGAAGCATGGAGCGATCTCAGAATTCTCACATGTCTCGTCAATCTTCCCCCTCAGCCAAGAAGAAATCCGATACTGATAAGAAGAAATGAGGCCTCAGAGCGAAACCCTAAGGTTTTTTGAATGTTTCTTGATTTTACAGAACAAGATAAGAACAAGCGTGGTGTGGACTTACAAGTAAGGCTTTAGAGGGGTGAATAGGAGGCTGACAGCATAGAAGCGAAGAATAAAGAAAGGGCAGAGATAGTTAGAGACAGTGAGGGAGGGCGGCATACGACAACGACAAACTTCATCATCTTCTTCCACTGCCTGGCGGTGTGTGATTCGCGGCGACGACGTGATTATACCTTGCAGTTAACTCCACAATAACATGTTCTATTAGTTAGTGTATTCAAGTTAGAAAGTGTTGCTTGCCTTAATGCTCGATTAGCCGATTTTTGAAAAGAAGAAAAACCATGGTTCAAATTTTGGTCCAATTTTCAATGTAACAAGTAGAATTCCCTTAAATGTTGGTGTTGGTTATACCTTGCAGTTAACTCCATAATAACATGTTCTAGGACACATGAAAGGTCTAGGTACAGTGGAGATGTAGCTATAACTACAAAAGCCTGAAAAAAAAATCAAGGGTCAGAGATAAAAGTATATGTTGTTGCCCACATTGTATCTTCTACAAGTTCCAACCTTTTTTTTCGTTCAGTTTCCTCTTTATTACATATTATTATGTTTACCAAGTATATGATACTGAGGGGGAATTTGGCTCCCATAATGTTTTGGAAGGAATTGGAATTTGTCAAAGGAATCAAAATCTAAGAGGATTGGAATCTGACAAATTGTAAATTGTTGGTTGATAGAAAATAGAATGGAAGATTATAACGAAAATTAAATAGTTCTAGATTCACTTTTAAATATATATATATATATATATATATATATATATATATATATTTTGTTATATATACTGAGGGTATGGTATGGAATTGAATTCCTTCCACCCATTCCTAGGAATGGTAAAATCCATCAAACATGGAAAACTGAAGGAATCTAATGGAATTGATTCCGGCCATTCGGAACCAAACACGCCATGGAATGGAATCTTGAATTCCAATTCAACCGGAATCCAAAAACTAAACACATCCTAACTTGACTTGGAAAAAGCTTCAACATTCAATAAGGAAACCTAAAGAAAGTATAAAAACAAACCTTAACAGTTGTAAGTCGGGTTATCTCATTTCCCATTCGATCTACAAGAACAGGAAGGCAAGCTGGTAATTCTGCTGTGAGATGAGCACCAAATGTTGAAACAACAAGCCCATACAAGAGACAGCACATTCATTAACCTCCTGGAGAAAGACCATTATGTTATCCCAAATTCCCAATACAAGTTCACAAACAAGTACTAACCTGGTCTTGATCTCGGTTTGTCAATCGTGACAAGATGGCATTATATATTGGATGGACATAAGGTTTGAAATCCAAATTAGAAACCTAAACAAACCAATAAAGTAATATCAAAGCAGAAAAATAGATAAATACAAGAATTTTTTGGAATAGATCATGAAATAGAAAGGGATAACACCTCAATGTTTGCTCGAATAAGTTCCCCGCATACTCTTAATGCCTTTGCAGTAACTTTGTAATAGCGTTCACCAACAACAGATAAAACAGGAGCAGAAATAGCCTACAAGAAGATGTCAACATAACAGTAATATTAAAATCTAGAAATCCTAAAGTAGAAACCAAAAAAAAAAAAAAAAAAGGGTGGGACCCTTTATATGAATAATACATTGTAAGGGACCGGTAATAGTAACTGTCAGATGCAAAACATTATTGCTCTCAAGAAACTACAATGAAAATATTAACGAAATCACTGATTTTTTTCCTAAGTTATAATAAGCAGGTGGATCATAAAGTGTCTTTTAGGATATAATGTAACATAATAATCCATTCCATATTAATAGTCTCTTAAACTAGACAGTTCAAGCTGGTAATTGCACTACTAAAAATATATACCAGCTACATAGTCTTTTAACTGTTCATTTGAGAATTCATCTTCTTTTCTTCTTTTTTGAATTTTATCCATTTGAGTACTACTTCTTGTTCACTAACAGATGCCAATATTTGTTTTTTGTTTTTGTTATGTTTTTTTTTTAATTTGACTTTTGGGGATTTTGTTTGGTTTCAGGTTTCTTGTGGAGGAAGATGAAGGACATTAAGAAGATGAAAGAGACAAGGGCATAATGGTCATTTTCATAAATAATTGGTTGTGTCGTAATCAATGCTCTTTAAATAATTCCGTAAAACATCTGAAATGCTTTGTTTTTGTGATTGTCATTAAGGATCCAAGAATCTATTTAGACATGAACTTTGTAGCTGAATCCATTGAAGAATCAATCAACATTCTCATTTTCATTAACGAGGGTAAAAGTTGAAATGAAATAGCTTTTACCATAGAACAAATACAGTCCTAACAAATGATCCTATGGCAGAAAGTGCAAATAAAATTCATAAATTGATCTCTACCGGAAATATATGCAGAAAACAAAAGAATTTTTTTCGTTCAGTTTCCTCTTACCGAGTATAAGACTCACAGGAACACAGTAGAGAAGGGACTTGGACATGATGATAAAAAAAAACTTAATCAAAACTATGAGTAAATTAACCTAATCACTACAGATTACCTAAAAAATCATAAACCCTAGAAGTTTCTCTAGATTAATTTGGGGAAGTTGCATATAAATTGAAACATACATAAGCCCTAGAAATCTATTAACATGTAAAGTACCTGACTGATGCCATCGTTGTCAAAAAGAAACTCCTGGAAGAGATCAGCGACGCCCAATCATTGTGGTCCAAAGAAGCAGGATCTGCAATACGTGTTTTGATGTTGTAATGTTTTTGGTTGCAGATTTGTAGGTCATTTGGAGATGGAAGACTATCACTAGAACAATACGTGTTCTCAACGACTTATTCTGGGAAGCCATGTGGAACCGATGAGCAACAGAACAACTCCTAGATGAAGATGATGAAAAACGTGGTGGGCGGTGGAGGCGCTGCTTAAGGCATCGGGTTAGGGTGTCCATCGGAAGGGTTTTTTTTACCAGCGGGAAGGGCTTCTAAATGTGAGAAGCTGTTGTGAGCTCTAAGAAGTATGTGAGGTCCGGTTCAAAGCCCTAGTAACTTACTGATAATGTGAAGATGGGCCATATGCGAAGATAAAAGATGAAGACAGACCATATTTGAAGAATTTTGGGCAAAGGTATGGTTAGATTGGTTCAAAGCGTATATATGGATATTAAAGCGGCCATGGAATTTGCAGAAGTTGTACCAGTTTTAGGGATAAATCGAACTAGTTGGGTCTTTGTTGTTGAGCTTCTTTGCCGTGATTACTGGCTCGTGAATAGAGAGAAAGGTTAGGGTTTCTTGATTAAGAGAAGGAGGGGGAGAAAATGAAGGTCATCAGCAAGTGCAGAGGAATGAATAAGCGGGTCCTCCAAAATTTTAGGGATTTTTATCAGCAAGTGGAGAGGAATGAATGAGCGGATCCTCCAAAATTTTGGGGATTTTTGTCAATCGATCATTTCCCGCCTAAAAGGCGTGTTTCATTAAAAAATTTATATAGCGACATACTTACATGACGCACATTTTATAAAAGGCACCCTCCGCATTTCCTTTTTTTCTTTTCTAACACTAATTTTAGGGCACTATTTTTTAGGGCACCCACAAATGCGCACCCTCTATCGGCGAGTGTCATTGTTTGCGCATCATTAAAGGCCAGTTTTCTAGTAGTGTATTGTGGGTTGAAAACCATATGTACTCACCAGGTTTCCCGACCTGACCCACTCAGTTTATTTATATCATAGGTGTTGATATGAAGTCACATTACACTGAGAGAATAATGAGATATAAATCACTAGTGATAATGAATGTAAGTTCTGTTTATGATTATGTTTCTGTTTTGACGATGACATCCCAAATGTTTTAAAATGAATAAAAATACTTTTCTTCAGAAATGCTTTGATAACGTATTTATCATGTTTTACTGGGAACAAATTTCGCAACATTTTTATTAAAAGAGGTACTCTGATTTTTATAAAGCATAAACAAAATCGGTTTTTTCTGGTCGTGAAAATGGGTATGTCACAATCCACAAATTTTAAGAGGATGGATAGAGATGACAGGTACAAGTTTAAGAGTTTTAAATGATAGAAAGATTGTTCGTTAAGTTTATATGTTTGAGTTGTTTAGGTTTTAATTGCATGTTTTGGAACTATATGGTTATGTTTTTTGGTTATTTTATACTTGGATATTATTTGTAGTATTTGGTACTTGAATCTTATGTTATTTGGTATTTGACTTTTATGTTATGTTTTTTGGTACTTGAATCTTATGTTATTTGGTATTTGAATCTTATGTTAATTGGTATTTGACTTTTATGTTATGTTTTTTGGTATTTGACTTTTATGTTATGTTTTTTGGTACTTGTGTTGATTAATAGGTTCTTAATGGATCACGACAAAAAGATACTTCTCATAATTCTAATGTACTTGTACGTACGCTATTTTTGGAAGAGGGGTGTCAAACGAGTGCGGGACAACGAATCGGATATGACGGGACATGAATTTATGTTAGAGTTACTTCACCGTAATCCTATACAATGTGTTGAAGTACTACGCATGTCCCGTGAATCATTTGTCCGACTATGTGCTCATTTTAGAGTAAACTACGAGTTAAAGAATAACAAACATGTATCGTTTGAGGAGAAGATGACTATGTTTTTTATGATGATCGGTTATAACCAACATTATGTGATTATCAAGTGGAGATGTCACACTCAAAGAAAATGATTCATAAGTTTTTCATGAAGTGTTGGACAAAATGTTTTTGTTCGCATATGACATTATAGTACCAACTTCTTCTAATCTGAATCCAAACATTCCGGGCCATAATAGGAGGCTACGACGGATATTCAAAGGAGCAGTTGGTGCACTTGATGACACTTTGATACATGCTATTGTCCCTGCAAACAACCGAGATTTATATAAAAGTAGGGGAAAAGACTATTGTTACCAAAACGTATTGGCAATATGTGACTTCAACATGATGTTTACGTTTGTTGTGGCCGGTTGGGAAGGGATAGCACACGATTCTAGAATATTATCAGAAGCATTAGCAAATCCACATGTACTATTCCCGTTATCACCATCAGGTAAATTTATGGTTATTTAAATAGTTTTATCTTAGTTTGAAAAAGAAATGATTTTTATTTATTTATTTATTTATTTTCCTTTTTATAGATAAATATTATCTTTGTGATGCCGCCTATGCAAACATTCGAGGTTTTATGGCACTATACCGTAATGTGAGGTATTGGCTTGGAGATTTCCGTCAAAGACGTGTATTAACGAATAAAGAAAAATTTAACCAGGCACATGCAAAACTTCGAAACGTCATTGAGCGTGGTTTTGGTGTCTTGAAAGCACGATTCCTTATATTGAAGAGGATGACACCATTCTCGTTGGTTACACAACGAAACATTACCCTTGCATGTTTCACGTTTCATAATTTTAAAAGAAGAGAGTGACTACGTGATGAGTATTTTGCACGATATGATGAACAAAATGTCTCGGTTCAGAATAACAATGCAGTCGTTGATGATGATAAAGATGAGATTCTAACACATAGTACTGTACCGGACCGTGAATATATAACCCGGTTACGGGATGAAATTGCCAAGCAATTAATGCAAAATATCTAATGAGAATTATTAAAGTTTGCTTGTATGAACTTTATTGCAAAATATTATTGTAGACTAACTTGGTTGTATGAAATTCATTTCAATGTTTTAAGACTACAAAAATATAAGTTTTTCTGTGTCTAAAAACCATTTTCGGTTTATTAAATTAGTTTATTTTAAATTTTTAATGTCCGCATCGGTCTGCAGAAGTTAACAAAAACAAACACGCTTCTTATTATAGTTTCCAGCCGTTTGGTTCACCTCTTCTATTGCAGAGGTTTGCAGAGGTAGTCCGCAGACCTTATGAATTTTTGCTTCAAAAAAACAAACAACACCTAAGTGAAGTTGAATCAATCTTCAGCTGATACACATCCTGCCAAACCAATGTTTCAATTTCTTCCACTGATGATGCATATGTAAAGTGCAATATTCAATCGGATATGGTTTCAAAATCTATGATTAGAACTTGGATCATTGTGGAGTCTCCGATTCCTCATTTTGCATTTTAGTACGAGAACATTCGAATCAAATTGGACCAGATGTTGTGTGAGTTATTACTAACAGGAGCTTCAACGCAGGATCTTCAAACAACTTGTATATGCCAGAGAAATTAATGACATTGGTTAATGGTATAATTGTCCACGTATTAATTTTGGAGTGGATGAATAAAAATAACAAGTGAAAAAACCAATTCTCATAGTAAAGTACAAAATTTAAAAAGAATATTATCGCAAAATAAAAAATAGAAATATTACAAAACAACATTTTTTTTTCTTCTTCTTCATCTTAATTCTTCCTAATAAATGTTTCTCATAAATTTTGATATTTATCATTTTATGATATTTTTGAAATAAATATTATATATTTGTTAATTTCTGATTTGTTTCAAATTTAAAATTAAAATCATATAGTTAATGTAAAGTATTAAATATAATATATATGAAATTAAATTGCAATAAATACATTTCTTTTCTTTATTATTTCAAATTTAATGTTTAATTTGTTTTTTTAAATAAATTAACCCGTTCACACCGATTTTAGTAATATTCCTTTGACATTTAATGGTATTTAAGTGATTGATTACGGTTAGAAAAGAAATGTAGGGGGAGTTAATTTTATTGGAGTAACTAGGAAATGTTGAGATGGACACGTGACAGCCAGTCGGATTTTTTTTATTTTTTTTTCTTTTCAGTTTTGCTGCTTCCTTCATGGTCAACTCCAACCAGAATCAACTTTGTTAAATGTTAATGGCAGCTCCATCATGTTCATGAACCATGAACCCATCCTCCCTATTTATACCCTTTCCACCGCCTTACAATTTCCTCACACTCCTCATCCTCACTCACATTCATCTCTCTCTCTCTCTCTCTCTCTCTCTCTCTCTCTCTCTCTCTCTCTCTCTCTCTCTCTCTCTCTCTCTCTCTCTCTCTCTCTCTCCAAAACAACTTCAACCATGCCTTGTGAGTCACCAATGGCAGTTTCTGACTCACTCACTAAAATCATCTCCAAATCAACTGTATTTCCGGCAACACAATCCACCCTTCCTGACCTCAAGCTCTCTGCTTCCGATCTTCCCATGCTTTCTTGCCACTACATCCAGAAGGGCAACCTCTTCCTCCGCCCTCCAATCGTCATCTCCGATCTTCTCTTCCTTCTGCGAGAAGGTCTCTCCAGAGTTCTTACTCATTTCCCACCTCTCGCCGGCCGTCTAATCACTGATGCCAATGGCTACGTTTATATCACCTGTAACGACGCCGGTGTTCAGTTCCTTCACGCCAATGCTACTCATATCTCTGTTACTGATATCGTTTCCCCTCTTCATGTTCCCGATTCCGTCAAAGGCTTTTTCGCCTTTGACAGAATGGTTAGCCACGATGGCCATTTTAATCCGCTTTTGGCTGTTCAGGTCACGGAGCTTCACGACGGTGTTTTTATTGGGTTTTCCGTTAATCACGCGGTTGTCGATGGAACTTCCTTGTGGAATTTTATTAATACTTTTGCAGAGGTTTGTAGAGGAGTGAAATTGATCACAAAACAACCTTGTTTTACCCGTGAATCGGTGTTGATTTCTCCGGCGGTTTTAAAAGTCCCTGCCGATGGATTAAAAGTCACGTTTGATGAGTTTGCACCACTCTGTGAAAGGGTTTTTAGTTTTACCAGAGAATCGATTTTGAAACTAAAAGACAGAACAAACAATCGGAAAAAAATAAATTCTTATGGAGAAATTAACGCTGCTGAAGTAATGGGGAAACAGAGTAATGATCCAATTAAACTTTCCGACGACAAGGTGACGGCGTTAATCGGTAATTGGATTCGAAACGCCGTCGTGACAAAAGCAGAACCGGTACCGGAGATTTCTTCGTTTCAGTCTTTATGTGCGTTGTTATGGCGGGGAGTGACACGTGCAAGAAAATTCCCAGATTCTAAAACGACGACGTTCAGGATGGCGGTGAACTGCCGTCACCGGCTGGAACCGAAGCTTGAAACTCTTTACTTCGGAAACGCAATTCAGAGCATTCCGACGTACGCTTCCGCCGGTGATGTCCTGTCGCATGATCTCCGGTGGTGCGCCGAGCAACTGAACAAAAACGTGTTATCCCACGACGACACGATGGTTCGTCGTTCTGTATACAATTGGGAGCAAGACCCACGGTGTTTTCCGTTGGGGAACTTCGACGGAGCCATGCTGACGATGGGCAGTTCGCCAAGATTTCCGATGTTTGATAATGATTTCGGGTGGGGGAAACCTGTTGCGGTGAGGAGCGGGAGAGCGAACAAGTTTGATGGTAAGATATCTGCGTTTCCCGGGAGGGAAGGTGGTGGTAGTGTGGATTTGGAAGTGGTGCTTTCGCCGGAAACAATGGCGGAACTCGAATTGGACCCAGAGTTCATGCAGTACGTTTCGGTACAGTGTTGTTGATGTTGACGTTTAATTTGTCTGTTTGTGAAATACTATGTTGTTTGGTGTACTAATTAGTTTATCTGTAAAATGCTGTTATCTCAATGTGCTTGTAATCTAATTCCTAATTTAAGATAATCTGTCTTCTTCAATCATTTGTATTATTGTATTCATCTATCTCTCCTTATAAAATACTACAAAAGTACAAATTCAATTTTGGATTGTTAAAATAAAATAAAATATTCATTTATTTATTAATAAGTATATTATATTAATTTAACTAATATACTTGAATATTAAGTAATAGTTATCTAATTCTAAACGTTTCTATCCGATTAGTGGTTTTTAAAATTCACATTTAACATAACTATTTTATAAAATTTTCACAAAATTTGTTAAAGTTAAAGATAGCCCAACAAATAATATATTTGGGCTTATATGGATTAAACTTTGTGTATGGGGTCCAATTAGTTTAAAAATCTTCTATGTTTGTTTTGAGTCTAACCCTGACGACTGACATTGAGATTCACAATAAAGTCAATTGCGTTCGGATTGAGCTTCTTTTCTCTCTGTCTATTTTGGTTCATTTCCACTCTCCCACATTGAAATTCAACCTAAAATATAAATTCCTTAAAATTCATTTGTTAGTTTTTCAAGTTCTATCAATAGATGGAACTGTGAAATCACGTTCTTGTTCAAGGTGATGAACCTGCTTGACATTCTTTTGAGGTAATCCTCTTTTTATCCCAATTTCGAATTTTGTAGATAGCATTTCCGATTTATGATTCCTTGTAGGAGCACGACCACCTCTGGATGTGGGTTTTCGTTGATTCTGTCAAACATCACAAATTTCAATTTGGGTATGTCGCCGTCAGTGGTAGCATAATTGCGTACAACATGTTCGACGAAATTCCTCAATGAAGTTTTCTTTCTAACCAGTTGCGATCTGGGTTTTGAAAATGAAACGAGGTCGATCTTCCAAGAGCCCAATCGCGTTTATTGTTGTATTCGTTTCAATTTCTTGCTTTTTTGTGTTGATTCTTTCGGTTCTTAGACTTCCAGACATATCATTCAGCAATGGTGCCAGAACTACAATCAAGCTCAAGAAATCGAGCAAAATTCCAGAGAACAGTGAGAGGATAGGAGCGTTTGCTACCATGATGATCGAAATGTTGCCTCAAGATCTTCCATTTACGATCTTTGTTCCTTCAAAATTAGCTTTTGAGCGTGATTTGCGATTAGGGGTAAATGATAGTTTGGTGGGGGAGAAAGCAAATGATACGTTTGCAATACTTACCCGTGTATTGAGCTTCACAGTTGTCCCATGGAAAATTCTTTCAGAGTCTGTTCCATATAGTAGAGAGATAACCTGCGATTCTTTATCTGGATTAAAGCTTTATGTATCAAAAGATCCTGATGAAACGCTTATAGTTAACAGGATTCGATCAAAACAGGTAGATTTGAAGAAGAACGAGATAGTTATTCATGTCATGGATGGAGTGATTATGGAGGCTGACTTTGAACAATCTGTTCGGCCTGATGATGATCATGATCAAGATTGAGAGACTTTGAATTACTCTTTAGAATGCAGTCTGATAGTTTATGGTTTTTATGAGATGTTCAACTTGTTTTGTGAACTAATGAATGAGTTTTTTAACCATTGTGATTGTTAAATAACTATTAAAATAGTCTGAAATTTCAAAACTTCAATTGAAAGGTGTTATACCTTATGTTGAAGAATCACCTCACTTATATAAAGCGTGAGAGCTTCAAACACAACATTAGTTTATTAACAAACTATCTCAAATAGCTTATTAAAAGGTATTTTTTATGGTCTCACCAAATACTAAATTCCAAAAAGCTCAAAAAAGAAGGTTTGAATTTTATTTGAAATGTTACGAACCGAATGATTCATAGATTTCAACATCTTAATTTGGAAATGATATTATACATTCAATATTAAAGGCCCAATTTCATAAGGGACCCAAAGTTTGATACGTTTATTAAGTCGTTTGATATTATAGCGGCTCTTTTTTTAAAATATTAAATTTAATGATAAATTCGGTAAATGACAAAACTTATATTTCTATTTACTTCCCTTTAAATCTATCCATTTGAGAAAAAAAATTAGAAGTAAAGATTATCATATCTTTTTTCTTATTCTTTCTACTGCATTCTATTTATTACTATTTTTCTATCATTTGCCTCGGCTTATTTTTTACTTCTATCCCTGTAAAAGACATGGAACCCTAATTAAATGAAGTTTTCAATCTGTTTCCAATCTTGTAAGTGGATGTTTGTAGTTTATAAATATATTTTATCCCAAACAAAGTTAATCAATAATTTTAAATATCTAATTTTGTTTGGCTCATTGGTTCTTTTTTATATACAACGTTGTATTTTTTTTTTTTTTTTTTTTTATGTTGGTTTCAGTTTCAGAATCCAATTCATATGAGTCGAATGGGTGAGGTGTAAAATGAATCAAAAAATCAGAATAAAATAAGAAACTAAGATTCATCTTTCTTATGATAATTAAATGTAGTGTTAATGTAGCCTTGAAATTTGAGATCCTAAACATACCATCAAATAATGGGAATTGTCCAAACCAAATGCATCCCTAAAACACCACACTTTTAGTTTAAAGCTGAAGTGAAAATTGATGAGCTTAAACTTCTAACAATAATTAAAACAAAAAAATACTACAAACCCCTATAAATCATCTCCTGTAGGGTTTCTTTAAGTCAAAATTTTAGACCAATCAATTAACAACAAAGTACGCAAAATCAAAAACCATAATCGGTTAATCATTCGACTAAAACGAGAACTTAAAAGCACCCGAGTGTGAGTCCTTTACCGAATCCCAAAATGAGGGTTTTGCCAGCTCAGCTTTTCTCTCCTGATCTTTCACCACAACTTCATCAATCATTCCCGGAAACCCCAATTCAATGGCTTTCTTAAACTTATCATATAAATTCACCCGATCTCTAGTTCCAGACACAAGTGTGCTTGCATTCGGCTTCTTCAAAAAATCCAACACATTCAACAAATTCCTCCTACAAACACCACAAATCACATTTTTATTTTTCTTCAAAGAAACTGCTAACAAAAATAAACAAACCTGCTAACAAAATTCTGTGTAATAGCAATTGAATCTTCAAGATTTATAACCAAATGCCACCATCCATTAGGCACAAATATCACTTCACCAGCTTTACAAACACATTCCACAGGCTTCTTTTTCCATGTTTTAGTAGACTCATAAAAGTTCATGAACCACTCGGTTATTGACACGGGACACGCCACCTCAGCGCCATCCGAGCTTGGGTGGACCCCGGGTGGGACCACATCAGGGGGAAACAAAACCCATTTCTTTGACCCTTTGACCACCGCATTCCAAGCTGAAGTTGAATTAGGATCAATGTGAAAAGACGAACCTGACCCTGCTGGTCCGATGATGATCCATCTGTAATCCGGTCTTTCATCACCCAAAACACTAAACAAATCCTCGCTGAAATAGATGGGGATTTCATAATCTTGACCTAATTCAGGAACTTTGTTTGCGAATTTTGGGTCGAAAAGATATAATGGTCTTTCTTCTTGAGCTTGATTTGAGTATGTAAAGTAATCTTCTAACTTCATATGAACAGGGCCAACTGAAAACCGAGTGTCCCTACAAATTTTCACTAAATAATCTTTGTCCCATTTCTTGATTGCAGGCCAATTGTCCAAACACCCTTCTAACAAGACGGGTTTATTTGGTTCTTCAAAATTTGACACGAATTCATCAAGGGAAATCCCTTTTCTTCTGATGATATTGTCTCTGTTTAGCCATTCGTTTTTCATTTCTAGATTGGCACATAACCAGCTTTGAAATAAGTAATCAGAGTAAAAGTCTTTAACTTTAAACCCTAAAGATCCAATCTTTGAAACATCGAAAGATGAGCTATGAGCTGCGACAAAAGTTGATTTCCAAGACCCTTTAAACAGAAACCCATTATCGATTTCACAATTGTCCAATACGAGATTTCTCCAAAGGGGTTCGTGATTACAGAACACGTAAAATGATTTGCTCACAGTTGATAAAATCCCCAAATCGGTACCTCTTAAAAACCCTAGAATATCGAGAACAAGCTCATCGGTTAGGGTTTGGATGTTACCTAAGCCTGTGTTTCTTGAGTTGTGAGGAGATGAGCTGAGGTAAAAGTTTCCCAATGGTTGAACTCCGTAATTCTGTGATGGGGAAGAACCCTTTAAGCTGAAACCGTCGTCTGTGGCGAAATCTTGTTGTTGTTCTTCAGTTAAATGAGGGTTTTGTTTGAGGTTTTTGGGAATACGTTTGTGGGGTTTTCTTCTCTTCCTTTTTCTAATTTGCGTTAACAAGCTTCTGCACCCAGCCATTGTAAGGATCAGCGTTTCCGATGGCCGGAATAGTAGCAAAAAAGGGTGTAGGGTTTAAAAGAGAACTGGTGCGCTTAGAAAGTTTGGGGTTTACAACAATAGAAACCCTAGCTGTGAAGATTATTTTCAATATTTTTGGAAGGTGTAACATCTTATGTCGGATTTCTGTTTTCTAATTTATTTTAACTTTATTTTTTATTTTATAAAATCATACGTTTTCAGATTACATTGTATTTTTTTTTATCTATTAACATGTTACAAACCGATTAACGCCTACGTAGCGGTTTTCGCTGACCTAACATGTCTATGTGAGATTACTGAAGACGTCGCACGCCGAATGGATACTTTGGAAGGTTTTGAATCCGGGAGATTGTGGAACAAAAACAAACCTTTTAGTCGGCGAACCAAGGCGTGATTATGGAAATCTCTTTGTCACACATCTATATAGACTAACATCGATTTGTGACATTAAAAAGGTTTGAACATACGTCATACGGGTTCCAATGTTTCTCTTTTTTGCCACCGAGCCATTATACATGTTTGATCATTTCCAAGGCTTCTTCCTTTGCCATTAGCCATTATCCATGTTTGATCATTTATCCCTTCATGTTTTATCTATATAAAACTTAGAAGTCGTACTATTGGGTATTTAACAAGGTTGTAGAACTCGTTACTCGGTACCTAATCGGCTGACTACCGAGTACTCAGAAGTACTCGGATTCAGTAATTCATGTAGAAATATTTTTAGGAAACTTATACACGTCAAAATCATAAGTTAAAAGTTTAAGTTGATTGAAATATATAACAAAATTGGATACATTTGAATACAAAAAAACTGAAAAACACATAATAGTCTTACTTTATGAATAATTACTGAAAATTTAAGATATATATATGTAGTAATAATCACATGTGTATGTGTTAAATAATAAATTGTTAAGTATATTATACATATTAATCACCGAGTTGATCGGGTTTTATAACATTGTTCAGTTCACTAAAGGATCAATCGGGGAGTACTCCGGATTCTGTAATTCGCATCGGTAAGGGGCCGAGTAGCGAGTACTCGGAGGAGTAATCGACCAACTCGGCGATTGTATTTAAACGTTAAAATCATATTTTTTATGTATTCTTTGAATAAAAAACGTTTTTACGTACTAATAAGATAAGTATTTTATGTATTCATTAACATTTCGTAAAAAAAACGTTTTATCCTATATAAAAACCTCTTTATCTAAAAATACATTTATGTAAATTTTAGTTATGTAAAAACGTTTCATAATATAAATCAGAGTTGAGGGAAAGACATAAACCAAATAACTCTTTAGCTTATCATAATATAAATATGAGTGAAAGACATAAACCAAATAACTCTTTAGGTTAGTGGCCAATGGTGTCCCTAAAAAGTATGAAGTCTTAGGTTTGATTCTTCCTTCTACCCGTTTATGCATGCATCTTTTTCTTTTTTAATAGATGTGTTGAGGTGGCGATTGAATCAATTTGTCATGTCAGTAGTTTGGTCCATGTAGGTGTGCCAAGTCAGCAAAAACGCATGTAGAAGTTGGCCGGTTTATGACTTGCTAATAGGTAAAAAAATAAAAAACATTTTAAAAAACTTATGGTTTTTATAGAACAAAAAATAAAGGTATGGTAAATTAGAAATCTAACCTTAGGTTTGTGACTTTTATAGCATTAACATTTTTGAAAAAGTTTTATGTAAAAGGAATAAAATTTTCATACAATTAAAATATTTTTTTAAGAAGTTAGAAAATATGTTTGGCGGGTGGGGGATTTGGCTTAAGGGTGCTTTTGGGATGTGGGTGTGGGGTGTATCTATGTAGGGTTTATATTTTGGAAAAAAAATTGAAAAATATGAAAAACAATAATTATCATTATGATGTTTTTCAAGTTATATGCAATTTAATAAATTATAAATAATTATTTTCTTAGAAATTTTTTAGAAAAGAATATCGAACTAAACATGTTTTTTTAACTTTTATTTTTCTTAGAATTTTTTTCTAAAAACTACAACATTTTTTACAATCAAACCACACTAAATTTTCATTCTATGCAATAACACCCAAAGGAGTAATCTTTGTAGTAACTTTTAGGCTTTTACTAAACCATTTTCAAACGAGATTAATGTCATAAAATGAAATCTACTAGACATTATTTTGTTTATTTTTTAAATTGTATGTAATAAAACAACACAATATTTTTAATATATCTATTAAGCAATTAGAGTAGATTTAAAAAAGTTAAATTGATATCTAATTCTAATTGGCATCCAATATGAAAAAATTGATATATTGTGTTCACGTGACATTTGATGTGGCAAAATTGGTA